GTTGATGGAGTTGTTTTTTTTTTTTGCACTAATAAAATTGTGGAGTTGTAAAGTATTTTGTCTAGTGTCAATTATATCGTCAGTTATATCGTTATTGCAAATTTTCAAATGTATATCGTGATAAATATTTTTGGTCATATCTAATTTCTAATTTTAAATTCTAATTTAAAAATCCAATTAGGATTTAATAAATAGATATTGCATTATTCAAACTATAATTGATTTGAATCAGAGAAATCAATTGTTTAAACCCACCCCTAATATCAACAACATAGAGCTGATACTCTTATACCCTCACTGGCCACTTTATGTCTGCTCAACAATGCAAACAAAGTAGATAAATTTAATAGGCTAATCACATGGAACCAACTCAGTGCATTTTGTCATGTAGACTTGGTTAAGTTTTATATTATACATGACATGGTTGTTGGTGCCAGGCACGCTGGTTTGATTTTCTTGGGATGCTCAGCACATCAAACCTTGAAGCAGATGGACTACAACAAAAGAAGACCATAGTGGGTGTCACTAAAGTCTGCTAAGAACAGGAAAATGAGGCAACAATTCACACCAAATCGTTGCCTTGGCAGACAAAAGATTGAAAATATGTTTTCTGGTCTGACAAGTCGCTACTTCTGTTGTGATATTTGAACGGTCAGAGACTGGTGGAAGCAGCATAAAATGCTGGATCCATCCTGCCTTGTATCAATGGTTCACGGTTTGATGGTCAATAATCCAGGTAAGGAAATCCCATAAGGTTTATTGAGTTCATCTGTACATAACATTTTTCAGTGGGAAAAGTATGGATGAGAAATTAAACTATTCACCCACTGAAAATGCTGCATCCAAATAAAATGAATCAACTTTTAAACAACATGGTGTATCTGAGTAATGTCCAGCCCTTTAGAAACCACAGTTTTCCAACAGGGTAACACCATGTCACATGTCAGCTCAAATCACCACTACACAAAATATTCCCTCTAATATATCCTTTTGTATATTAGAAGTGTGTTGTAAAGGAGAATGCATTTTTTAAGTAACATATGCTCCATGCAGGTGTTAGAAAATGTCCACCTAGATTTTGAGATGCCCTACATGAAAAGTCCCTCCCGGCTGGAAATATTTACCTTTCACAAAGGACAGCATGTATACTTCTGTGGTCATGCAAGAAATGTTTACATTATTCTTATTTTTCAGAAATAGATAAGATATTCTCGGGCCAGATGACTCACTAATTTTAGCTAAAAAAGACTTTTAAAAAAAGGCAAACGCCACTGTAATTCTGCGGGAAAAAACAATGAAAAGTTTGAACTAAATACACATTTGTTTGTTGGACCATTAGGAACCGCGAGAA